TATCCTGCTTACAGTGAAGATCCCTGGGTCCCGACCAGAGATTTGGGTTCAGCAGATGTGTTTGAGAGATGCCAGAAGTCCATCTTTGATTTATTTAAGGACGCAGAAGCCCTATCTATCGAGGCAGTGTATACAGAAGTGGCAATTCTAGCTGTGCCTTCCTGGTCAAAAAACTGAAGATAAGAAACTACGCTGGTATCTAAACCACTATCTGCAATAACTATAATGGTCCCATTTTCAAGGATAAGTGCCTAGAAATTTTGTTATTAGTGTTTGATGTGGTAATGGCTTTAGGATATGCTCCTCTTTCTTCCTAACCAGGAAGATAAAACAGAGAATGTTATTTCTACGTAGGCAAGTCCTGAATTACAATATAAAAGCCTTGAATTTAAAGGCTTTTCCAAACCCTAAAATTTAAAGCTTATAAATTCTCTAAATCCAGTGTAGCAACCAGATTTGGCCCACGTAAATTAGAGGCACAATTAAACTTCAAATGTTCCAAAGGCCTTCTGGGCTTATGAGAAGTGTCCTTAATCTCACTACACCTACAATTTTTCCATATTTTAATATTGAATTTCCACGAAACTGCTTAACAATATTGGGAGTTATGTAATTTTACGGATGTTGGCAAAATTGTATTTTGAAATTGAAAATGAAGACTTTTAGAGAAGATCGTAGTGCCAAACTTATACACACACACTGTGTGTGTGCGTGTGCGTGTGTGTGTATGAATGAATAGAAATTCAGAGCTTGTTCTGTGAACTGCCAGGATGAGACAGCACCGGAAGATAAGAACCCCCCATGCAGGCATTAGGTACAGTAGTGGCAATTCTAGCTGTAGCAACGGGAAATAATTGGATGAAGTCCAGAGTGATACAGTTGCCTCTGGCCCTCAGTCTCTAGTGCTGAAAGGAATTATTTGGAGGGACTTGATAAATGAGATTCTTGGGCCCTACCTCAAAGGATTCTGATTCATTAGGTTGGGGTGGAGCTCAGGAATCTGCATTTTTTACAAGCTCCTTAGGTAAGTCTGCCCCAGGCCGACAGTAAGTCAGACATGGAAAAATCTTCTATGGGACTCACGTGCACACTGGCAATTAGCATCCTGGGGTCCAGCAAGGAGTGGTATTTGGACAGCTATCCAAAACAAGGTGAGAGCAGCCAGGAGGTTTCAGGGTTCAGGTAAGCAGGCTGAAAGACTGCTATAATAAATTACCACAAGCCAGGTAGCTGAAAACAATAGAAATTTATTCTACAAGGTGATAGTAGGGCTTTGCTTCCTCCAGAGGCTCTAGAGGGGGAGATTTTGTTTCTTGTCTCTGCCAGATTCCAGTGGCTGTCTGCATTCCTTGGCTTGCTCATTCCAACCTTTGCCTCTGTCTTCATGTGGGCTTTTCCTCTTTGTTGGGTGTCTCTAAGGACACGGGTCATTGGATTTACTGCCTACCCAGACAATCCAGAAAGATCACATTTCAAGTTTCAAAGACCCTTTTCCAAATAAGGCCACAATCACAGGTTCTGGAGATTAGGACAAAGAGCTGTATTTTGTGTGCCACCATTCAACCAACTATTCTGGAACAATTAATTGCCTTATGCCACTGTCAGAGCAAGGGAAAGTGGATAGTGATTGGTTCGAGTGCTAGAGAGAATTCTAGTGCCCATCTTCAAGCCAAGGTCAGGAGGGCACTGACTTAGGAACCAGGCAGATATTTGTCACTAACAAAGGAGCGCGTAAGGGTGGGATGAGCAGCAGAGCTGACTTTATTACCCTGAACTTCTGAGTCAAAATTCTACAATCCCTGCTAACCAGGCTACTCTGGAACAAAGTGAAGTTGCCACAAGTAGACATCCGGGGGTGGTAGGAAGTTTAGAGGTTAAAACTACAAAAAACTGCAAAACACAGTCACACAGGGAAGCACAATCACCAATAGTTACCACTTATTGAGTGCCTACTACATGCCTGCACTTCACATTTATTATTGCCTCTTTTCATCATAACCTTGCACGACAGGTATTACAAGGTTTCCCATCCGGGAAAATGGGCTTTTAAATATTAACATTATATAGCTAGGAAGTGGCAGAGTTGATCTGGTTTCAACCCAGATTACTCTGACTCCAAAGCCTATTGTCTTTCTGTTAAAACGTGCTGCCTCTCCTCAAATTTTAGCATTTTATCTTCCAAAATCTCCTCCTCTTCTTTCTTTGGAACTTTCCCTCCACCTCCTTATTCTGAGATTCATTAGACCTTGTCTAGTCAACGTCAGAATGATAAAACATTTGTTTCTCTACCAAATACCCGATGCTAAAAATATGTAATTTGGCTATGGTAGAAATGATAAATATTGCAAAGTTTTCTAAAACAGAATCACAGGTGTGGATCCAGATTGTGAATACTTGCTCCTTGTGGCTGTGCTGTGTTCATCTTATTCTAATCACTCAAACAGGGAGCTTTAGCAGACATTTTGTGCCCAGACCCAAGTTCTTGGCTCATCTCTAATTAAGATGCAAGTCTGCAATGACTATGTGTGTTGCATCTCCCTTCCCCCACAACCCTCCCTGCCATGCATGCTGCCAGTGAGGTTCTACAGGTGGTGATAGACAAGAAATTACGGTACTAGTTTCTACCATATTGATTCACAACATGGACCAAGATCAAGGAAGCTGCTAATACGGTATGCCTCTAACCCAGCCAGGAACTGACATCTTTTGAGTACCACCTAATCTGCCCTAATGATAGAGTTCTATTATAGAGCTTCAATAAATGTTTGGGAACCAGGTCATGGAGCCTTAACTAGCTTCAATGCAAAATCGAAATATTTCTGAGCCTGGTGTAAGGTTTAACAGTACTTTTAGCTCACCCTGTGTCACACAAGGTAACATGGCTGAATCTGACCTTTCCTAGTATTGACTATACAAGTTTTTGGAAATGATTACTACATTGGGCCTGATATTAAATATTAATAACATTTTCCAAAAGGACTTGAGGTATAGTAATCCCCACCACGCACTAAGCACTGGTCCAGCAGTTATTTTATTTTATTTTTTTAAAGATTTATTTATTTATGCATACAAGAGCTGAGGTACAGGCCAGAGATGGGGGTGTGTGAGAGAATTCACCAGAGACAGAGTGGGGAGCAGAACAGGCAGACGGACCAAAGACACTGCTGAGGGGAGCAGCAGGCGAGACAGGAGAGGTCTGCTTCGCCATGTGGGTTGCTCCCTGGTCGGCCAGGGATGGAACTTGTGCTGCAGAGGCTGCAGATTGCTTCATAGTGTGGTGCTTAATCCCTTGTGCCCCCAGGGAGGCCCCTCCAGCAGTTATTCTGTACAATTCTCTGCGACTGGAGCTGCAAATGATAGCACCAAACACACACACACATATTTCCCCACATTCTTGGTGGGGGGACCCTTTTCCTGCTGTCTCTCTTGGGAGAAATCATCAGTTCTGAGGACCCAAAAACAGTTGCACCAATATAGATGTCAGTTTGACAGTAATTTAGTAATATATTTTTCTTTTTTTTTTTTTAAAGATTTATTTATTTGTGCATACAAGAGCTGGGGCACAGGCCAGAGATGGGGGAGAGGGGGTGTTAGAGGATTCACCAGAGACAGAGTGGGGAGCAGAACAGGGAGATCCACTGAAAAGGATCTTTCACACTGCTGAGGGGAGCAGCGGTTGAGGCAGGAGAGGTCTGCTGGCGCCATGTGGGTAGCTCCCTGGCCGGCCAGGGATCCAACTCGTGCTGCAGAGGCTTTGGATTGCTTCACAGTGCGGTGCTTACCCCCTTGCACCACCAGGGAGGCCCCTAGTAATATATCTCTTGACCATTTCTTGTCACCATGCACACACACACAAACACACACACACAAAATTAAAAATATTTTAGAGTAGGTTTGAGTCGTCGTGTTTGCTTTGAGCCTGAAAACTTGCTAGGAAACTGAAACTGCCAAGTGCTGCTGCTCAGGCGAGCGGCTTTGCTGGGGAGTTGGGAGCAATACGTCATGGTGGGAAGTGTGTGCTTCTTCGGATTACAGCTTGGCGGATTAGGAACCCCAGCTCAGACGTAGGTTGGCCCTGATTAACTGGCCTGGGTGCCTGTGGGCCAGGGCGGGTGGGGGTGTCTGCTGAACTCCAACGACCACTCGTGGCTGATTTCACTGGAGATTTCCCTGGAGAGAACAGCAACAGTGCATTTTTGCATGCAACCCGGCGCAGGCGAATACTGAAGCTACCAGGAAAGATCTGGAATGTGCACTAAATGGTGCCCGCAATCACGTCAGTGGAGCTTTCTGCCCCCACGATCCCGTCTGCCCACATGCTTCTGTCTATCAGCCTGGGCCTCGGGCTCAGCCCTCGCCGCCGCATTGGCTGGATTTCGGGGGGGGGGGTCGGGTGGGGGAGACCCACGATTTAAAGAGCTCAGTTTGCACCTGCCAGGCATCGCCTGCACGGTCCAACCTGCCTTTGCAACGTATCTGGGAGAATCCGCCGCTGCACTTCATCTGCTCCAGCGCCTGGCCAAAGCAAAACGACTTCTCCGAGTGTCCCCGTGGTCACCTTGACAATTTGCAAAAGCGAAACTTGCGCTGCAGACTGAGCCTGCGGGGCGCCTAGTCCCTGCCCAGGTCAGCAGCGCCCGCCCGGCTGGGGGGCGGGGACGTGGGCGGAGCCGGGACGAGGCGTGGCCTTCCGTGGGAGCGAAGCACGGACCTGGCCCGCCCCCTCAACCCCCCAGCCAATCGGCGGCCTATGCAAATAGCGACCCTGTCGCCCGGGTAACCGTGATGCCCGGCAGCCAATGGCAACCAGCAAGTCGCGGCCCCGGGGCACGATTGGAACCGAAGGCAGGCGAGAGCGGCCCAATGGGCTGCGGGAACGGGCCTCGGCGGGTTGCGGGGCGGGGCTATGCAAATATGGTTTGAAAAGCCGGCGGGAAATCCGAGTTTCGCGGGAGGACCTTGGCGCGTAAACCGTATCCCTTCATTCATTGTCAGCGGCAGCTTCCTGGAGCCATTTTTCAGCTGCCGGCCGCAGCACCCGGGCTGCCGCCGCCGCTCCGCAATCCGTTGCATCGGCCGCCCCCGACGCCTCCATCCCCCCTCGGGGCCCGATATCCGTGCGGCCGGGACCCTCCTCTCTCCAGAGCCCCGATTATTTTTGGGCCCCGGGGCCCGGGCGCTGCGGAAAAATAAAAAGAACCGAGAGAGAGAGAGAGAGAAGGGGCTCGGAGGCGCCGGGCGGGGAGGCCGGCGCGAGGAGAGACTTGGAAACTCCGGCTGCACATAATAAAGCGCTTGAAAGCAAAACGTGCACACACGCTCCCCACCGCGCGCGCCGCCGCGAGCCATGCGGAGGGGGATCCGGCCCGCCCCGGAGCAGCACCCGCTGACCGCCGGGGGCGGGCAGGGGGCGGCCGCCGTCGCCGTCGCCGCCGCAGCCTCCATGGACAAAAGGGCGCTGCTGGCCGGCCCCGGCCTCCCCGCCGCCGGCCCCGGCGCGTTCCTCCAGCTCCTGCGCGCGGGCCCGGCCGCCGGCGCCGGCTGCTCCTCCTCCGCCCCGCGGAGCGGCGCGCCGGCCGCCGGCCCCCTCCTCCCCAGTGTCCCCGGCGCGGAGCCGGCCGCCGGCAGCCTGCTCGACTCCACGCCGCACGGACCCTCCAGCCGAGCCGCGCTGCTGCAGCCCCCGGCGCCCGGCCGCGAGGGCGGCCCTCCGGTAATGCCCGTTCCGCGGCGGCCGCGCGGGGGGCCGGGGCGCGGCGGCCGCCCCCCCTCAGGCGCGCCCGGGGAGGGGGGCTGGCGCGCGCCCCCTCAGGCGCTCCCCGGGAGGCCGGGGGGAGCCCCCGGGGCGCGGCGGCCGCCCCTCCTCAGGCGCTCCCCGGGAGGATTGGGGACCCCCGAACCCCGGGGCGCGGCGGCTGCCCCGCCTCAGGCGCCCCCCGGGAGGGAGGCTGGCGGGCGCCCCCCGGGGTCGGCGGTTGCCCGCCTCTGACGCTCCCTGGGAGGCTTGGGGGCCCCCGGGGCTCGGTGGCTGCCCCTCCTCAGACGCTCCCTGGGAGGCTTGGGGGACCCCCGGGGCTCGGTGGCTGCCCCTCCTCAGGCGCCCCCTGGGAGGCTTGGGGGGCCCCCTGGAGCCCCCGAGGATCGGCGGGTGCCTCTCCTCAGGCGCTCCCTGCGAGGCTTGGGGGGTCCTCCGGCGCCCCCGGGGCTGCCCCTCCTCAGACGCTCCCTGGGAGGCTTGGGGGGCCCCCGGGGCTCGGCGGCTGCCCCTCCTCAGGCGCTCCCTGGGAGGCTTGGGGGGTCCTCCGGGGCTGCCCCTCAGGCGCTCCCTGGGAGGATGTTGGGGTCCCCCCGGCACCCGGCGGCCGCCCCTCCTCAGACGCTCCCCGCGAGGGAGGCTGGCGGGGCGCCCCCGGGGGCCGGGGTGCTCGGCGGGGCCGCGGGGCGCGCGTCGGGCTCACCCCCTCGCACGCTCCGAAACTTTTCGCGGCCCCCCTTCTTTTCCTGCACTTTCCCTACCCCCACGCTCCCTCCCCTCCAACTCGAAGCTTCCTCTTTCTCGGGCGTAGGAAGGGGTCACGCCCCGGATGGAGAAGGGGTGGGGGAGGGCGGGGAGAGCCGGGGAGGGGGGGACCCTCGGGGGGCCCCCCGGGCCCTGTTGGGGTGCTCGGCCTCCGCGGCGGGCTGCGGCCGGGGGTCCCCCAGGCGTGCGCGGCGCGCAGGGGCTCGGGCGGGCTCGGGCGGCGCTTGCCACAGTCGGGGCGCTGCGAGCCCGGCAACAAAGGGGCGCGGGGCGGCGGAGGGGCGCCGGGGGTGCAGCTGCGCGCGGGCCGGGGCGGGGGCGCGCAGGGGCGCGCGGGGGCGAACCCCGCGGGGGGCCGCGGCGTGGCCCGAGCGCCCGGGCCTGCCCCGCCGCGCCCCGGGCCTGCCCTTGACCCGCCTCTCCCCGGGCCCCCCTTCCCCGCCCTGCCCCCCGCCCCCCGCGACGGCGGAGGAGGGCGGGGGCTGCGCCCGTCCCGCCGCCCGGGCTGTCCCTCTCCCCGGGACCCGCCGTGACGTCTCGCACACGTGCGCGGAGGACGCGCCTGTGACTGGGGACGAGGCGGCGGGAGGGGGCGCTGGCGGGGAGCGGGGGGCACCCACTTCCTCCTGCTGCCGGCTCCCTGGCCTGGGACGGTCCGGCGCCCGCGCTGCGCCCCGGCTCGGCCGCCTCCCGCCGCGCCCGACCCCGGCCCCCGCCCGCCCGCGCCCGCGCCGGCGCCGCCGGTCTGCTCGGCCCTCGGCCCCCGCCGCCGGCCCCCACGTCTCCCCGGAGCCGGGCGGGTTTCGGAAATGCCCTTACAGCAGCAGGTTAGTGGCCGCGCGGCTGGGGGGGCCGGGGCGCCGCCGGGGGCGCGGGGTTCGGGGGCCGGAGGGGAGGCGGTCGCGCGGGGCTTCGGAGTGGGAACGGGGGGTTGGGTGCGCGAGGGAAATGAGTAAGCAAGAAAAATCCAAGTAAGTAAATGCCCCGGCCTCCGGGGCTGGGAGCCCCGGGCCCCCCGAGTGTCTGCCCCGGGGGTGGGGGTGGTGTTTACGTGCCTCTTTTGGAGGGGGCCCGGTGGATGGGCGAGGGAAAACCGGAGGGGGGCTCCGCGCCCAGGGCCGAGTTGAGCTGTTTTCTGTCTGCCTCTCCTTGTGCTGGAGGGGGAGGGGGCGGGTCAGAGGGGAGCGTGTCTGTGGGGTGCCCAGGCCCCCCGCCACCCCCTCTCTTTGTCCCTGGAATTTATAAAGCGCCTCGGAGCGAGGATCGAGGTCAGTGTGCGGCTTCTCTTTTTGTTGGGAGTAGAAAGAAGTGTGGCCCGCAGGTCCTCCCCGCTGCTCCTCCTCGCGCCTCCTCCATTCCCTGCCTCCTCCATGCCTCCTGCCTGCACCCGCGTGGTGAGGCTCGGCCCCCCACGAGGCCAGCGGCCGGCCAGCCCCGGGGCAGCGTTTGGGGGAGACTCTCAGCGGGTGACCTCACCTTGTCTCGGGCGCCACATGGGTTTCTCTTTTGGAGAATCCAGGTTTTTTGCAGGGGGCCTTGGAGGCAGTCAGCTCGGAGGCGGCAGCACTTTGAGAAAAAAGGAGAGGGGTTTGGGGGGACAGGAGATTTTGGAGGACCTTACCTGTGCCCAGCTTCTCCCCCCACCGCTCGATCTGCCAGCCCCGGAGACACGCGCTGGGAAGGTGGCCCGGAGTCTCCAAGCTGCTCCAGGCTTTAGTGACCAGGGGCTGCCAGCAGGGGGGAAACTGTGCGGTCCTTCCCCGCCAGGATGCAGTGGGCTGCCGTCTGAGTGGCAGGAATATTCTGTGCTTTCATTATCATTAACTGCTGCTACCGACTTGACCGAAGCAGGCTTGCACATATTTGAAGCTTAGCTGCCCCCTGCACCGTTCTCTGCTGTATCTGCAACCCAATCTGGAACTACCCGCTCTTGACATACTTCTTGGACCCGGTTCAGATTTATGGGAGGGAAGTTTTGGTAATGGGAAATTGTGAGACCACCAGATTGCTTCCCTTTTTTTGAACCTCCGCCAGCTTGTGGGGCCAGGTCTCCAAAACCGTCTAGCCAAGTTTATGTGCAGTTCATTGTATTGAGGTATTTTAAGTCTAAAAACAATGACCCTCGCTACCTTCCAAGTTATTTCAAAATTTGAACCTCCTTCCCATGAGGTTATTATGCCACCGTCATGGACACTGAATGTAGAGTTTGATTTATTTTTCTTTATCAGGATGTTGTTAAAGTTCCTTAACAGGCTTAAATTTTTTGTGGATATTTTCTCCTGAAGCAGGAGCCAGAGGATGGGGATAGCTCAGTGATGGGCAGAGCAAGAGTCAAGCTAAGGAGACCATTTAAACACGGTCTGAGAAGAGGTTTGAGAACTTGAGTTCAGCCAGAGCTGCAGGCCTACCTGGCTCCTATTCTAGTTCTGTCTCAAGAACATCTAAGACCTTACCCAGGAGCATATTCTTCACTTTTTTTTTTTAAATGGGAGAGAGTTATGTATATGAGTGACACCTTGCTAGCTGTGCTGCTGCTATCATTTACAGATTCTGTGGCCTCAGACAAATAACTTCATCCTTCAAGACAGTTTCCCTTTCTGTAAGAGAGAGGCAATAACACTGCTCACTAGAAGGTTCTTTATAAGGGTCAAATATGAGAATGCATGTATACCAGCATAGTGCCCAGCCAATAAAGGGATTCAGAAATGTGTTTTTTTTTTTTTTTAAGTAAATTAGAGAAACAGTATAAGACCAGGAGGTGCACATTGTCACCTTGTTTATATATATGAGTAAAATGGTTGAAAGTTTTGGAAAGTGAAATGCAACTAGACATTGGTACCTAATTAATTAATTTGGTTTTTCAAATCTCCAAAACATGGCCATCCTGGCGATGTTATAAACTGGGGGCAGGGGGTGCCGGGCCTATATAGATGGCGGTGGTGAGCTGCCTGAGAGGGGCTTATGCCTTGAGTTGTGATAACTTTATTGTCAACTTATCCTCACTTTTTTGTCTTGAGTTCCCCTCCATGGGCCTACCAACTTTGGGATACGGTCTAGGCTTGTTGACCTTTGTAGAACAGAACGCTGATTCGTCACCAAGTCAGACAGGTGCACCAGACATTGACTTCTAGGTGGGGAACGGCTGGAAATGAAAGAGTACTAGAGAAACCAGGGTTCAGAAGTGCTGTTTTCTGGGGTCAAAAGGGCTCATCATGTTCTGCCTCTTTGGAAAAGAAGCTGAAATGATTTCATTCTCCATCTAGAATCCTTGGGATCCATTAATGCAGGAGACAATGGCCTGTCACATCCGATTTAACTTAATCCAGTCACAGCAACCCACTGATTATACTTTGGGAAGGAACTCACGATGCTTGAAATTTCCACGTAAGACTGGAGAAGCCATAGATGCTGTGGTTGGGTCTCTTTTTATTTTTTCCCCTCCTGCGCAAGTATAAAGAGAAATGTCGGGTCCCTGTGGTTCAGTCCTCAATAATCTTGCTTCTGCTGAGATACTGCTTAGTGCCAACTTGAAGCTAGGAGAGAATTTTTAGTCCCTACATATCCCAAAATGGAAGTTTTAATCTAATGCAGTGCCCAGACTCGGGCAGTACAAATAGCTCCACTATAATCAGAACCAAGGGCGCCATTCTAATCAACCTCTGAAACAAAGCACCCTTAAATGTGGCCCGATGAGCTAAGGAACCCAAGCTCGAGAACAGGAAGGGAGTTTTTTTGTTTCTTTATAAATCGTCACCTTGTGTAATACTTGGAAGAGTAGATTCTGAGATTAATGTGCTGTATAAAGCTAACTTGAAAACAGAAAATAATACTCTAAGCTTAGACATGAATAAATAACAGCACCTGGAAATTGAAAGACTGGAAGAAAGTTGCTTTGCTTCTCAATGCTCAGAGAGAAAGCGGTCCCTTTTCTTTTAACTCTTCCATCTTTTACTGCCATTCCAAGGACATGCTGGTAGAGTGGTGAGCAAAGCTGCCTTCCAGAGCTCTGCTATCCACACCTTTAACCCCTTTCCAAAGGACTTGGGCCCATTTGGCAAAGCTTCACTTATTCACAGTTAACTTTCTGGCTGGTTTTCTAACGTAACACGATTTACAAATAATCCATTTGTGTATCCAGTTTATATTCGCTTTCCCAAGCTCACCAAGTCCCAACCTGCTTTCTAACATTTTTC